AGGTCAAATCCATACGCATATGTTTTCTCGATTACAGTAATGATTTCGGCAGTGTAAACCCTGAGCTTCTTTTGAGAGACTTACACACTGCCGGAATTCAACACCCTACTGTCCACTTTTCGAGAGACTATTTTACTGGAGGTGCCGAGTTTACTTGACTTGGGGGTAAAACTTCGTCGCCGCTCACGACAGACATTGGAGCTCTTTAACGGGCCATATTATCGCCATACCTCTTTTCCATTTACATCGCCTCTTTACCTGCTCCTACCGATGCAGCATTACTGAAATATGCAGACGACATAATCTTGGGTGTGCAACAACCGACCGGAACCTCATCAACTAACTTACAAGCCTATCTGAACAGCATTGTCTTATGGTCCAGAGCTCACTTTTTATCGCTGAGTGCATCAAAATGCAATAACTTCATTTTCTCCCTGCATAAACGCCATGGTTATCAGTAACTTCTCATGGAATACCCCGAAATTCACATAGATTGCGAGGATTTACACTGCAAGATTGTCACTGAAGTACCTAGGTGTAACACTCAATCGCAATCTTTCCTGGTCACTCCATGTTAATGATGTTTTTACACAGATGATGTTGCTTTCGTTCTACACACTTCGTTTACGATCCTCCTCTGTCCCCCGCCACCGCATATCTTACCCCTTTGGGCCTATTGCTCCACTGTGCTAATTCCTGGTTTTCCAAGGATGCACTTTGAAATCCTAGGTAAATCACTGACGCAATTATCTCGGTGTAGTGGGACTCCCAAGCCGACATTTGTTGAGGTTCTTGAGTCCACTCACACTAATTCATGCATAAGGTTTGCATCGAGAATACCTACTGACACAAGTTACCCTCTTCATGGTGCATTGTTTGTGTGTGTATCAACATCCTCAATCAGACAAAAGTATAAATCCATTTTGCCCGCACAAGAGCTTATCACTCATCGGTTATTCCAGATCTGGCGCGTTATTTGAGCGACCAGACATCAGTTGTCCTGGAGCTTAAAAACAACTTTGCATCGCCATCATACTGCTGTTTATTCCACTTATCCCTCTACTTGTGTATATACTGCTTTATTTTTTTACTATGCTGAAAGCGTGTGTGTCTACGAGCTGAATATTTACCTTTATGGGTGCATAAAGCATTTTCTTGAATTGGATTGAATGGAATCACACATGATTCTGGCAAACATTTATGTCGATGGGATATATCTTTGAGTCTAACATTATCAGGAAGACTGTGTGCTTGATGTTCTTAGCTATCTGTTATTCCTATCCCATGTATCGCACGGCCATATGCCGTGTGATACGGAACAAATGCTTGTCAAACCGAGATCGGGACAGCAAGAATTGTGGGGTTTGATGAGTGTATTTATGAGTCTGCTGCAGCAGCCGCAGCTAGGGTGCCACTGTTTCTCTTACGACGACCGGAATATCGAGACATTGTTTTGGGGTCTTTTATTGTGTTGCGCGGGCTGGATATCGTAAGTTTGTCCAAGCCTAGTCAAGAGAACTATTCTCGACCAAACCTTTTGGTTCAGACAAAATCTGACCTCAAGGAGGCGAGCGTTTGCAAATGGGCGCTGCAAGGAGTAAGAGGCCACTCTCATTCCGGAGTCTGACTTCTAACTGCTGACCAGCAGGGTACAATTGACTTTGAAAGTGCAAAAAAGCACCACCCCGCATAGCTAAAAGCATCTTTGGGGCACGTAAAATCCACGTGCTACTTTAATACTCAGCTTCATTGCAGTGGACAGATGCGAAATAGTGTGTACTCGGTTCCTTCATTGGAACCTCGTTTCGTCTGGATAGCTGAGGGTCTGAGTGAAATATTGTATTGCCCATCGCAACCTCTTGCATACTGCCAGCTGCCCCGGTAATCAAAGTTCATGTCATTTCCACTGATCCCCCAAGCGGATTAGTTCAGGACGATACCTTGGCAATAGATCCGTCTAATGAGATAATAACGCGCTAATACATTGATGTTGTTGGCCTACCCCGAGTGAAGTCTATTTATACCTGGTCGTTTCCCCTGTATCATATGACGTGTTTACGTTCGAACATTTCTTTAGTGGCTAATTTTGATAGTGGCCTTCTGAGATTTTCTGATTCTTTTACATCTTGCTTCCAAGTTTTGCTCCTTTCCGTTCTCATCCTTACTGCATGCATTGTGGTGTGGTCGATGCAGTTGCTTTGACCGACTTCACCGTAATAATAATAATAATAATAATAATAATAATAATAATAATAATAATACTGACACTTTAAGAGTTGGTGCTTAGACGCCATGCATATAGGATCGATCCCCGATGAGTTCGTGATTGCACTACATCTGATACGGCATCTGATCTCTTAGGTACTCGCTCCCAGAGAACTTCATGTAGTATGCCGATAAACAGCACTCTTAGTTGGTCTTCCCATGCGAGTAGCCGACCAGCTCTGGATTTGCCAGACCCAGTGCAGTACTGACAAACGTTGTCCGTCTAGGCGCATAGTTCGGGCAGGGTGAGGGTTTATGGCAAACTGTCGCCACCCTCCAGTATCACCAGCGGTGTGAGACAAGGATGCCCGCTGTCACCTTTCCTCTTCAACTTCGTTATTAATGAAGTTATGGAAACAGCGTTCGCTGGACACGACCTAGAAGGTGTGAAGCTACTTCCTGGTGAGCGACTTCTTGACTTGGAGTATGCGGACGATATTGCCCTAATCTGTGACAGCTCCCAAACATGCCAAACAGCACTGGACCGATTAGCACTGGCTGTCGATCGTTTTGGGCTATACTTTGCTCCATCGAAATGCAAAGTACTTCTCCAAGATTGGCAGGGACCCAACCCTGCGCTAACGCTTGGTGGTGATCTTCTAGAAGTCGTTCAGAAATTCAAGTACCTGGGCAGCTATATTAGCACTCGTGAGATTGAAGATGAGGTTACGAACCATGTATCGAAAGCTCGAGGTGCTTTTGCCAATCTCCGCCACTTGTGGCGCAAACGCGACATTACTCTCGCCCTGAAGGGCAAAGTTTACAATGCAGCCGTCCGTCCAACTCCTATATGGCTGTGAAACCTGGCCCATCATGTCGACAGATATAAAGAGGCTCGTCATATTCGATCATCGCTGCCTTCGCAGCTTAGCTCATGTCTGGTGGGAGCACCGCGTGAGCAATGAGCGTGTTCGACGTCGTGTATTTGGTGCAGGAAGAGCGAGTGAACCGCTCAGAGCCATTATATCACGCACCAAGCTCCGATGGTCTGACCACGTGTTGCGCATGCCAACACACCGACTTCCGCGACGTGCATTGTTTGCGCGTTGTGCGTGCGGTTGGAAAAGGAGAAGAGGAGGCTAAGTGATGACTTGGTCTAGAGAAATGAAAACCCTCACTTCGAAGTTGGCGTCGGTTGATGCATCCCGACTGCCTGGCTGGGGTCCTAAGGACGGTGAACACGTTTGGTTGGACACACTTGCTGACATGGCTTGGAGCCGACCCCAATGGCGTTTGTGTTGTGAGTTCCTTTGTCCATTCCCCTCCTGCTTGACATCCCCTCCAATCACGATCTCACTTGTTAGGCATAATATGACTCTCTTTTACGGTAGCCAGCTGTTAGCTTTCCGGAACGATGTCCATCCGTTACTGGAGACTCAGTGGGCGTGCCACTGTTTGTTTGCCTTTTCTTGTCTTTTGTATTGCGGCACAATAGCTGAGGTGTTTTCCACCTCCAGCTAACGTGTAATGATGATGATGTCCGTCTAGGCGACCATTTAGTGGGATTACGGAACCAGGGCGTTGTTTTGTATGATTCTACAACACATTCAATTCCAGTTGCACGACTATGATCCGGGCACCGAAGCGCGATGGTTACGGTTGTAATGACTCATCGCCAAAATATCGATAGGTAACATGAGTAAGACAAAGAGCTTGAGCGCACATAGAATACGAAGAAAACGGAATTGAGCTAGAAGTGCACAAAACGAATGTGGGATGCAGATTGACGACTAGATGCAAGAAACTGAATGCACGAACGTCATTGATTGCGCGACTGTGTGATGTCTGGATAGAGTATGGAACTACTGGTGTGGACCATCTGAAGTCTCTCAGTCACTTTCTTCATGCCTCTACTCCACATCTCATCGACTGGTCACTTCGAGTTTTTGTCCAACTTGGTGCAGCCACGGCGTAGATTACACGCCGAAGAAGCTGATCGACATGGCCTAGCTAACGTAAGCGACTGAGATTCAGCTAACATTGGGGTGAGGCGCCAAAAAAATTTTCTTGCAACTATTATATTGGTGGACCTCAGCATTGCTCATCAGATGTGAGAAATACCCCTCAAGCATCGGTGATCAAACATGACCAAGCTTTTAATGTATTCACTGCGAATTGGCCAGATCCCCGGTCACGGTACATCCTACCTCTCCCACAGTCTCCGTAGATTGACCCTCTGGAGAGCCACATGAGCTTGCGAATACGTGAACTAACTTCCTCAGTGATTTGACTATCACACATGTAGATACTCTTACTTTGTGAGCAGCGGTGGTCGATCGGTCGCACGTAGTCAATCCCCTTATCTCGTTATCCATACAGTGGTGCACTGTCTGCCCTGTGCATAGTTGCAGACTCATCGTTTAACGAGCTGGTTTACATCCCTAGTCGATTTTGCCTTCTGATTTCTGTATTGACATTCTAAGGCCCCGACGCCTTTGCGTGGAGCTGTCTACAAGCGCGTAGCCTTAAGGATAACAAGCCTGCCTTGTGATCCGAGAGCGCTGGTTCGGGTGACCGTCACGGTATCCCTAGCCCACGTGCGACTGATGGTGGTCGCACGGGAGCAAAACGTCGGTACTGCGTACTGGCGTACAGCTGATGCCTTCTTGTGTGGGACTGACCTGCCAATCTCGTAGGTTAATTCCTTTTGATCTTTCTATAACTTTAGCGAAGATATCTCGATGTTCTGCTTGTCCTGTACTCTCTATTGCTCCTTAACATATGTTGTACTTTGTAGCTTCCAAACGTAAACGTCCCTCTGGGACCCCTGCTGAGATGTGTTTCTCCCAGCCAGTCCCGGCGCAGGCGATGTCTGGTATCATGTTGGCCACTGAAGCACAGCTGCAACAACAGCAACAACAACAACAACAGCTGCAGCAACAACTTCAGCAGCAGCAACAGCAGCAACAACAACAAACCTTCTTTCTACAGCAACACCAACAGCAGCAGCAACAACAACAACACTTTACCCAGTCCATGACTCAGCAAGGCGCAATGCAACAACCGACGCAGCACGTGCTTGTCAGCGGTGGCCAACTCATGCCATCGGGCCCCATGGTCACTCTCTCTATGGCTGCTTGTCCTGGGGGTAACACAATCCCCGTTCATCCCAGTGAGTTTCCCACTTTTCGCTTCCTATTCACGATGATAATCAAGCTCAGTGATTCGTTGTAATTCATCATTTTGGTCACTTGATGTTCCGCGCAAAACTGTATGGAAACACGTAAAGCTTCTATTTCGCCACAACATTTGTGCTTTAACACCAATGTTCCTCCATTTGTAGACGCTCAAGCAGCGATGGCGGCTGGCTGTTACGCAGCCCCTCAGTTTCCATTCTCCACAGGGGCCGGTGGGACTCCACAGCAGTTCTTTATTAGCCCTCAGCCGCCGGGAGCAGCTGCAGGCGGTCAAACCTTTCTGCAGTGGTCTGCAGCTCTTGGAGGTCAACCGACTCCCACGGTGCACTTCCAGCAACAGTCCACACAACAGCCAGTTGCTGCCGCTTGGCAGGCAGTTTCCGCCATGAACGCCGCCCTATACAACCCTCAGCAACAGCAGCAGCAGCAACAGCAACCGCAGCAGGTTAACGGCGGCCTACAAAGCCAGGCACCGGGTACCTCGACTGCCACCACCTCAGCCGCGGTTGCTGGACACCAGCAGCAACAACAGCAGTCTCCACAGCTCCTCGCTGCCCATCAACAGCAACAACAGCAGCAGCAGCAGCAGCAACAGGCCGGCATCCAGCCAGCTGCTATGCAGATGACACAGCAGCACCAGCAGCTCTTCTTTTCTCCACAACATCCGATGGGGTTGCAAACAGGAGGCGCAGCTCCAGGTTATCCTCAACACATTTACTTGGCTCAAGCTCCCACAGGTTAGTTGCATTCGGATACCATGCTCATCCCTTATTAGTTTCATCCTTTCTATGCTTGCTGAGCCCGCCTGAAACAGATTTGTCACCATCATTTGTGATTAAATTCAATTCTTTCTCAAACAGTAAGATCAGGGGTTGGCAAATCCAACGGTTCAGCTTTATACCATCCTATATGGATATGAGCACAACAAATACGGAAATGAAGTGCATTGCCAATGCGGACGCACATTCAGTGTTGGGAGTCTGAGTCTATCCATTCGAGCCCTCTAACACTGACTACTAGGTCACCTGCGGGATTCATGCGTTGCTTTACTTAATCAAAAATCATCTTGGGAGCCGAATTCACTGTTTGCGAGCTCCTCCCCGAACTGTCGACGCTTTCATGCTTTTGCGCCGTTGCAAAGATTCCACTGTCTCTTGTAGGCCACATAACCGTCGATAGAGCCAGACACGAGGAATTTAATTCATAACACGCCTCGCCGTCGAGCCAATGTGGCCTCACTAGTCCATCTTTCTTCTATTTGAAAGGTACGAAATGAGCACCCACCCTTTTATAACAGGCCAACAAGCTTCAGCAGATGAATCCTGCAGTAGCGATCAGTTCACTTCACTAGCGGCTCGAGTTAGACCATGGAAGTCGTTCTTCCAGTAATTGTAGGACAGCTCCAGCAAACGCGAGTAGGGCAGCCACAGATCTAGACTGGCTAACACCATCGAGTGGTCACTAGCTGTCAGAGGCTCCAGGAACTGAATATCACGTTGCTCGCAGCTAGGTAATCCTAGGTTCAAGCTCGATGGAGCGGAATGCGGTGTAACGTGCTTGGGTTGGCAAACCTGTCGTGCTGCCCTAGTCTCAAATATTATCTCCGCAAATTGCGTCTCGATTTCATAGTGCCCGAGGAGAAGTTGAACCTCAGGCCACAGTGTTCGAAGGAACTTAAAATCGCCCGTAAGCGGGAAGTGGGGCCCCGTCGCAACGAGGCTGGACCTTAACGTAGTGCGACGGCTTGCGTACCTCTTTGACCCCTTGAACTATGCTAGGTGATGTCCGCGGACCCCTTGAAAGCAACTCCTACTCAATGGTTAGAATAAATTAAAATAAAAATGTATATTCTCAATGTTACGCGAGACACCAAAGAAGGCATGATCAGTTCTGTACAACAAGACATGCGACGATTTCAGTTTAATCAAATATTAGTGAGTAGATTCTTTCGTTCCAAGGTATGAGATGTGGTCGTCGTAACTGTTTACTTGTTGAAATAGCAAGTTGATTTGAAGGATTGAAATGGGTTGGCGCCCATTTTTGTAACACTAAATCATTGTCACTTCCCGCTACCTTGCGGACAGGCTTTTGAGTCAAAGGCTTTGGATGAGGACCCTAGTCGTCCTCCTGTCTAGGTCTGGGCGCCCTAGCAATATCCAAACCCACACACAACCATGATCATTTCCAAACCTTAGCTACGCCCGGCATCAACCATCGCACAGATTACCAAGGGTCGACTTCTCTGCTCCATACTGCGGGGCGGATAAGCGAAAACATGCTACTACTGGCGCCTTCCTTCTTTCTTTTTCACTTGTTTCTCTTACTCCCATCCCGAGCCCCGTTACTAACCGTCCTTCTATAATCCCTAGATTAACTGATAGCAGCTGTAATACCACGGGAGTTGAACCATCTGTAGCTACCTTCCCGCATCACAAACTGGATGACTATAGGCGGCAATCCCTTATAAGGCCACATTGTCCCGTTTCCCTGGCGGTGTTCAACCTTCGTACTCTAAAATAAATAGGTCAACAGGCTACAGTCGCACGCCCGCTGGACGCACTGGGTATTGAAGTGTGTGGCGGGTCCGAAACTATAAACAATAACCTTCACGGGGTTGCTGAATCAACTGCGCCCGGCTTGTCCTCTCGTTATTGATTGCACGCATCCGAAGATGCTGATATGGTAGCCTCTGGTCAAGCTGGGGTATGTATCGTTTTCAGCTCCAAGGCTAAACCATCGTTGGTTGATTGGATTCTGGTGAACAGCCGTTTGTGTGCAGCCCGTTTGACGACATCAGCTATAGTTGATTCATGAAGTCGTACTAGACATCATTGATTTGTGGTTTCCGTTTATGCTCCCACCAAATGCAGTTCCAATGCTGTCAAGGACACATTCTATCACGAACTGAACGCACTACTACACAGTTCTACTAGTTCAGATATTATAGTACTTGCAGGGGATATGAACTCACAAGTAGGGTGTATGAGCTTCTCAGAAGCTCAGCTGGGTGGCAATTGTGGGCTTAACTCCGAACGGACTGACACCGGCGAGTGTCTTTTGCAACTGTGTGCAGAGCACCAGCTATTTCTTAGTAGCACTGCTTTCAGACACACTGGGCGTCTTTCTGTAGCTGGCCGTAGATGGACTCAAATTGATCACATTGCCATAAGTTACAGATGGTGTGGTTCCATCATGGATTACCGCTCGTTCTGGAGTATTTGCATCTACTCTGATCATGCTTTAGTACGCTGTCGTTTTTCTATAAACTTTACCGAGAGGCTCATCAAGCGTCTCCTCCGATTGGCAGAAGGGAAATTATCCCAGCCATCAATCACACAAGCCCACCAATATGTACTGCGTACTGCGAACTTTCGTTCCCTTGTCGTGATGACACTGAGCTTCCGTGGAATAGAATCTCGGCCGCCATGCAAGATGCAGAAGCATCTCCCTGTGGTACTATCAATCGTCACCACACCAGTCACTGGATATCCGAGAGGTCGGTGAGCCTGTTGGAATCTAGAAGAAACCTCCCGGATGGTTCTGAGTACAATGTAACAAGCGGGACTATTAGGCGCAAACTGAAGTGGAGCGTGATTGCTGAGAAGGAAGCCTGATGCGCACCAGTCGGGCTCAGGAAATATGGGAGGCAAGAGCAGTAGACAACTATCACAAGCTCCCAGCTGATCCGCACCGCTGGTCCCAGGAAACCAAGTGTCAGTGAGACAATCAGAGACAGCTCGGGTGCCATGATTCACAAAAGGAAGCGTAGTCTGACTTGTTGGGCGGGGCACTTTCAAGATCAGTTCAGTTGGCCCCGTGCTTCCGGACCTCTTCCCACTCAGGTGATGCAAGACGAGTCATGGACGTTTATTTCAGAGACTCCTTTGGAGACAGATCAGAAACGTGATCACTGCCGTCAACCTTTTGCTGGCCCAGATTCTTTCCCACTTGCACTATTTAAGGATGGAGGTGCGGTCCTTTGCAAATCACTGACCTCTGTTCAGACAGTCTGGAAGGAGGAGACTGTCTCGCCTAAGTGGAGTGAATCGATTATAGTGGCAATATACAAGAAGGGCAGTCGCACAGACTGTTCTAACGACAGGAGTATTAGCCTAACGCCAGTTGTGACAATATTACTGGTCTCGATTCTCGTTCGTCGCCTCCCTGTGGAACGGGAATTTCGGATTAGGGAAGAGCAGGCAGCTTTCCGCCCAGGACGTGGCTGTATAGACCATATATTCACTCTGCGGCAGGTGCTAGAGCAGCGCCACGCATACCGCATACCGACAACCGCTGTGTTCTTCGAATTCAAGGGTGCGTTCGATTCAGTCGATCGATGCATTCTGTTCAAAATAATTGCGTGCAAAGATGTTCCCATGATACATGTGAACCTCTTTCATGCTCTATATTCGAACACTACAGATCGCGTCAGGGTCTACGGTGACCTGTCGGATAGCCTTCCGACAACAAGTGGCGTTCGTCAGGGTTGTCCGATTTCCCCAATTTCGTTCAATTTCGTCGTGCACTCCATCATGGAGTGTTCCTTTACGGAATCTCACGATGTAGGCGCTGACGTGCTGCCTGGTGAAAGGTTAGTTGATCTTGATTATGTGGACAATATCATCTTGCTTTTCAACGATCTCGCGGTGGCACAGACAACCCTGAATAGCCTGTCTAGAGTGGTCCCATTATTTGGGATGCGCTTCGCACCTTCAAAGTGCAAAGTGTTGCTGCAGGACCACCAGCCACTTTGTGACCTCTTGACCCTTGCTAACGAGGAACCCGAGGTGACTGACCAATTCACTTACCTTGGCAGCTGCATCAGCAACGATGGGCGCATAGAGGCCGACGTCAGCTGACGCATCACCTTGAGCATGCGACATGTTTAGCAACAGAAGGGGAGTTTCCTTCCGTCTGAAAGGCCTTGTACATAGGGCCACAGTGAGGGTTGTTCTGCTCTATGGTAGTGTGACTTGGCCCCTTCTGTCTGAAGATCTGAGTCGCCTTCAAGTCTTTGATCATCGTTGTTTGCGAAGCATTACTGGTGTCGGATGGCACCAGCGTGTCCGCAACGATTGTGTGCGTAGGCGAGTATTAGGTGGTGATGATCTTGCTAGCTCCTTAGAACAACAGATAGCACTGAATAAGTTGCGTTGACTCGGGCACGTGCTACGTATGCCTGGTCACCGCTTACCTAGGAGGGCCTTGTTTAGTCTGCCAGGTGTAGGGTGGCGCAAGGCTCGAGCTGGACAGAAGTTGATTTGGCAGCGGGAAATGAAGTCACTGACGACCAAACTGGGTGCCGTTGCTCCCTCTCGCCTTCCAGACTGGAGTCCAGGTGACTCACCTTGTGCTTGGCTCGCAGTCAATACTTATGGCGCGTCTGCTGCCATCTCCTAGTCGGACTGCCTGTTTAACGTGTGTTTGGTGCTAATTTATCTGCTGGGTAATGACTGAGTATGATGCGTGGCGGTGAAAGCTGCAGTGAGTCTGTCTCCCGGATGCCGCCTTATTTTTGCACGATAGGGCGGCTATTTGTGACGGTGTTTGCTTAAGGCACTTTTCCGTTAAGCCCTTCTTCGCACCCTCTTATTATTCTTCATTCCGTAGGTCGTCGTGGTTGTATGGCAGCGAAGCATCAGCTCAAATGGCTAATCTACTGCTCTTGATGATGAAGAGTAGGTAGAAGCGGGGCTGGCCCATGTGGCTTCTGAAATGTGGTAACCAATCCAGACATCCACTTCACTGACTGCGATAAGCTACACCCACATACAGTAGACCTTATCTCAGACGGATCGAGCACCATAGCTGCACGCATAGGTCATTACCGCTTCAGTATATTTTTGCCAGTTTAGTGCACAGCGAGGACCGAATGTATAACAGCGCACCACCGCGTTCGTTTAACGGTCTGTCGCACCGGAAGCCGAGTAGCCGCTGATCTGGGTAGTGACCTCAGGAGTTTCGGCCTGTCCTAGTACGTCCGGATGATGAGGGGCGACAAAGTGATATATTTCGTCACGTCTGTTCATTAAACTAGTAACATGTGTGAAGGATAAGCGCAAGTCGCGGTAGGAACCGCCGGGCGCCCCTGAAGCGTCATACACTTGTTGCTCCGGGTTCGACTAACCCGGGGAACTACTCGAAAATTTGCGATGCGATTACTTTCCCCACTATTGCCTCTTCGACATGCAATTACAGTCAACCTGATGGCAAATGAATTCTCAAACCAATACGACAGCGTCATCTACTTTTTGGAGCCATGTTTCTTGCAACATAATGATGCCTAGCTGCAAAAATTCTTTGGTAGAGACTGTACTCTATACTTCAACTAATTTTCTAACGAACGAACGGATGTTGGTGCTAAGCAATACAGTCACGCTCAGCTCTCCGAGTTTTTCTTCTCGAAGTGCGACCCCATGTTTTCGTACAGAATTGTTACAACATACATATTCTTTTCAATTCGTTTTTTATAACACGACCGTTGGGAAATGCGTAAATCACATACGTAGAAACATCTCGCGCTAGTAGATTAACGTCGCAGGGAATTGCTGCATAAAAACCAGAACGTTTCCAATCAATATAACAACTGAAAAGGTGTGTTGGGAAATTCCACAGAAGGAATCGTAGAGCACGGTCAAATTTGAAAGCCCCGCCACTTGTTGACATACCTAGGATCCTCCTCTCCAACCACGAGCTCAATCCATATGCATACTATAATACTTTTTTGCGGCAACCTACCCGGCTGTTAGCTCTCGGGGACGATGTCCAGCCGTTACTGGTGACTCAGCCGGCATACCTTTGTTGTAATTTTTCTTTTCTCATATATCGCGGCACAATAGCTGAGGTGTTCTCCACCTTTACTTAACGTGTATACTGTTGATGATGATGAGTTACTGTGAAAGTCCGCGAGGTCAGCCGTTTTTGGCAGCTCGGGTGATATTTTTTGAGCTCCATTTTAGGGCACAGAGAGAGGGAAAATTCGGTTATGCAGATGACATCATTCTGTTGCTTGACACTTATGTTAAAATTAGTCTATCTAGTCGATGCAGTGACTTGTCCGTCTCTTGTACTTACAAACTGCTCTCATGCCATCTTTCTCTTCAGGCGTTCCTGGGACTGCCGGTGCATCATATCATCTTCTTCCCGTGGGCTGCCCTGCTTCGAACTTCACCAGTCTGTTCTTTTCCGAACAACAACAGCAACAACCGCAGCAGCAGCAACAACACACACAGCATCAACTCACACAGTGCTCTGCGGCCGCTGCAGCAGCTCAACTCCAGCGAGCAGCAGCGCAGGTACAACAGATACCAACCCCACAGCAACAAGCGCACCAGCATCAGCAGCAGCCGCAGCCGCAGCAACACCAGTCACTTCAGCAACAGTTCCATCCACAACTGCAACTGCAGCAGCAGCAACAACAACATCAGCATGCTTACATCCAACCACAGCACGCCGCAATTATGTCAGCCGATTTAGCGTCTGCGCAGACAGGCGGTATTCCAGCTCCCGGTACACCCACCCAATTCATAACGCTCACACCCGGTGCCCCACTCAAGGTGATGACTGTCGGCCCCAACGGTCAACTGATCCAAACAACTGGTCTGCCTCAGTTCATGCCTGCCGCTGGTATGAGCATCACTCAACAACCCGCCATGCAATCTCAACAAGCAACCACTGTTCCTGCGTCCACTGCGCAACGGCGAGTGGCAACCCCACAGCAACAGCAGCCGCAGCAAGCAAACAGCCGAACTGGTACTCCAACGGCAGCGTTTTTCTCCGGGAACGCTGTACCTCCTGGCACAATTCCCCTGGTACAGACTGCAGCTGGAGGCGAAGAAATGGTGCCTAGTTCGGGGTCTGTGAATCTGTTAGGTGCCACAGACGAGAAGCTGGTGTACACAGCCCTGTAAGGCCACACGGAGGGCCACTCACTCCACACGTCGTTTTATTCCCACTTCATTCACACGGCCTGTGACGTCCAAGCGTATGATATGCATTTGTCGCGCACCTGTATATCAAAATCAAAAATCTATTTTAACTTGACTTCCTACCGACCACGACTCTACCCAGTAACTGGACTTGTACAGAGTTTTATTATGCCGCACCGATCTATTCCCAGTTTTAGTCCCTCGAGACTCATTTGCAATCCGCTCTTCGGAGGTCCTTACTCGAGACGGAAACTGTGTCCTTCATTCCATACATGCTACCTGTGCCCTCATGCATTCACACTCTGAACCCACATTTTTTCTTAGCATTTCGCTTTTCTTATTATTTTTTACCTAACTCCATCGTCGTGTGTCTGTTGAATTGACGAGCTCCACCCTCTCTTTTGGCGTACGTGCATGCGCGCGCGCGCTCTCATCTTGTCCAGTTGTACATACTCACACACACACACACACCTCTTTTGTATGTAGTATTTCTTTTCATTTTTTCTCACGACAACTGATCTGTGTCTCTTGCGCGTTTTTGTAGCATACTTCGTGTATTTTCTGGAGACTCTGTATTCTATGGATAAAAAACCGACTGTTTTCAATGCTTCTTGTTTGATTTTCGTCTCTTCAAGTCGGCTCCCAAATCACACTGTAGATATGTAGAATGAAACAATGTATAAGCTATCAACAGGCATAGTGTTGGCCGCAAAAAGTGGTCCCATGCATCCAGTGTGAAGTAGACTACGGTCCAGCCACCGCATTGTGTAGGTCTGGTATACATGCTTCCCCTACTAAACTGCTCTTGTGTATGTTAAAGAAATGTGGGTCGGCTCCCTCCGTTGATGAAACCTGGTTCCCATCCGCATGTCTTCCGGTTGGTTGACGCTAGATACGGGGTGTGTGAGTGGTGCAGCACAAGCCAACCATGATCCCTCTGTAGGCGCGGGCGTCCTATGAAGACCGTCAAGCAAACTATAGGTGTCAATGGGAAGTGCAATTTAACCAAAAACAGAACGAAACATGTTTTGTTTGTTTTTCACACGCCGATTTTTTGTGTCATTTTCAATATTTACGGTATTAACTAGGTGAATCAATACAGTTGTGTACACATTTCTTCCACAGATTCCATTCCGGGTCATGTATTCACGCGTGTTATGCCACTGACACTCCTCCTTAGATCCGCTAGACGCGACGTCATTGATTTCATGTGCTGTCACCAGGTGTAAGGCTGGTCACTCTGCGGTCGCCTCCAGGTTGGTCCCTGCCGATCGGACAGAGCGCAGTGCGGTAAACACTCAGGCGCCACGCGCAGGACGTGACCGAGCCATCTCAATTGGCGCAGTGAAATCATCTTGTGTTAGGGGAATACTCGCATATCCCAACGCGCGATGTCGAACGACATCACTGTGAACTCCGTGTTACCACCACACACGAGCGATCCTCTTCAAACAACCGTTGTCGAAGTCAGAGAGACGACGCGTGTCCTTCACTCGTATTGGCCAGGATTCGCTCCTTTACAACATTACCCAACTGACAGAGGCACTGTAAACACGGCTCTTTATCAAAATGTCAGACTTCCAGACGACCGCACAAGCGCCTCAGACTAACAAATGCTGATCGGGCTCTAGCGATACGATGCTGATAGTGCCGTCAGCATTCACAGAATTCAAGGCACACGAAACTGTCTATCTTTTCAAGTTGTACACCTTCAACGATGTGCACGGGAGCAGACGTAGGTCATTCCTGGAGCAGCACTTTATGCTTCCATGGGATGAAGTTCATGTCATAGATATTTAAATCACCAAACGATTCATAATGAGTTGCATATTCTGTGGATCGTCGCCAACTAAGGCGATATTATGAGCATAATCTAAATCGGTCGCGAGCTGACCCGGTAGAAGCTATACGCCAAAATATTGGAAACCTTCTAGAGCTCTGGGCAAGACGTCCTCGATTGCGAAGTCACAGAGGAATGAGGACATAGGACAGCTATTAACAGCGAAGGGCGAGGAAAACTTGCCGTAAACCTTCGCTCTGCCGGAGGTATGTATGTAAAGTTCAGTATAAGATGGCACACTTCTCTGACATCCCGTCCTTCATCAATCAACGCCATAAAACAGATCGCTCAGTCAAGTCAGATGCAGTCCGTATGCGACGATGGTGGGCCTGTGGTAAATGTGGCGATGTTCGAGGAGTTGGCGGACCGTGAAAATTCGATCCATGGCCGGCACTTGAACCAGGTTGTTCTTCACTGTAGTATGATTCATACACTGGGGATAATTTTCGAAGCAGAGTGGATGCCAATAGCTTGGAAGCAACCGCGATGATTGACACATGAAATGTGAGCGCCCTTCTCGAAAATCGGGACAATGACTGATTCAACCAAAAACGCGTTTACTTCATGACAGATTTTTGTGAACTACGAGGGCAGCTGCTCAATGACCGCCACGCCGCCGTACCTGAACAGCTCCTGAGGAAGTCCGGCAATCTTGAATCGCTTCAAGCGTCGAATCTCGAGGCTGACTTCCGCTACTCTACGTGGATTCAGTGGGACGAGCCAGGGTGGACAACAAGGTGTACTGCATGCACTGGTGGACGGTGGAGGCCAGTAGAATTGCGAGTGAAAGTGCTCGGTCCATTGGTCTAAACCCTTCTGTTGGTTTGTGATCCGAGACCCATCCGCCTCGCAAATAACCTCACTGACATCAGACTTGCTGAGACCAGTGGATAGAATAAATTGGACAGCGCAGAAGTCTCCATCTCTAAAGCACGCTCATACCACCAAGTCTCACGATCCTTGCGAGGCTTTGTTTGCACATCTGGTTGGCAGAGCGGCACCGCTCATTGCAGTCTGAATCTGCCGGGATATCTCTGCGGCGGCCGAACAGCTCCAGAGATCGAGCTCAGTTTCAACCCTGTAAGGGGCGTCGGGCAAAGCAGTAGCTTTACTCTCTGGGAGTGGTCATCGCTTTATGTGTAGAAGTGCAGTGTTGCCCGATGTGCGATAGATTGCAACTGAGTGCGTATGCCAGTGAAGACTGCTAGCTCGCATAGATCGAGGCATCGGTTAATCTGTTTACATCAATCTTGCGATGCTTCGTTTATCGGGACTCCCATAAACATGCAGATTTTCACCGCAGACCAGTGCATGATCCGCGTCAATGAAGGTGGACGAAAAGGACCTGCAGTCCCGTACCCTGCTAGGCCATCTGAAGCTGATTGCGGTGTGGCGAAGAGGGGCGCTGACTTGCGAAACGCCTAAGCAGGTGCTGGAGAGCAAAAGATGGTTGTCTTCGCATAATGTGAGAAGTCTCTCTCCGTTGCCAGAGCGGGACTCATCGAGCATGCGATGACCACCGAGGTGGCGTTCGTATGGTAACAGCCGGTCAACCCGTACATTGAAGTCCCCAGCAAGGACAACGGAATTTGACATTTTAGTCTTACACAACAGCTGATGAAGCTCCCGATAGAAGTCGTTCTTAATCGAACCACAACTGCAGTCATTTGGAGCGTACGCGGAGATCACAAACAAGTCGTGTCTCTCCTCGCGAAGCTTGTTGATTCTACATGAACCCCGAATCCGAACTGCACACAGTCGACTGTTACTCAGGAACCAGACCAGTAGTGCCTCCTCGGCCTTGCCATTTAGTGCTATACCTACAGCAACCAAACGCGCTGAGACTGCTTCTGGATCTCCAGAAAGACGCAGGTGATATCTGGCTTCGTAGTTAGTGGGAAATGTCAGCGTAACCACAGTACTAAGGTCTTGTAATCGCGTTTCTGAAAGGCAATAGACGTCAGCGTCGAGAGACGTTGGGGTACGCTATAGATTAGCTTGCTGTCCAGTCTACTTAAGTGTCCACACGTTGGTGCACGCTAGATGGAACCTGGATGGGGGTCGAAGGAGAGCCATAGATTGAACTCCATTATTCGCCGTGCAACCGGAATCGCAGCCATATTCATTAACACATGAATCGCGTAAAGAATAACAAGGACTGTTAGCTGACAAACAATTGACGTGTGATGAAGTCGCGGGTATTTAAAAAGCAGAAATGGTAGCGCATGAGCGCGTCGTAGAACAGCGCATGGTTTTGATGAGAGACTATGATACTACCCGGTTGCCGAAGCCGAAATAGGGAGTTGACTTATGGTATCCCACGCGAACATTTGGCTAAATTGCACACCCACAAGGCAGTGGTGCAAATTCAGGGAATCGCGCCCATTGGGAGCCAGTGACTGATGGCTTAGTTCATAAGCCTTTCGTTTGGTCGGTATACCAAACAGGGTACCAATCCTCCCCACGATTTCAGTGAGTGTGCTAGAATACAATCCTCCATGGGGCGGTAACTTTATTTGGTAACGAGTCACATCCGCCACGTTGCAGTGTTATTAGACGGACATATATGGCTTTTATAGGGAGAACGCTTGACAGATGAAAACCCACCACATCTTGGAACACTGATGACGAACCATTGGCTGGAACAGGACGATTCCGAACCACTCAGCTGGCACCGCAAGGAAGTTGTTAGGCAAGCCAGCCAGTTGCATCCACATGCCCCGTACCCGGTATGAACCTGGAGGCATGTTGATGGGAATCGCGTTTCATCAACAACAGCAGTAAATCAGCCATTTGAACTGGTGCTTCGCTGCTATACCACCATAACGACCTACGGAACGAAGGGGGAGGAAGGAGGACTTATCGCAAAACTTTAATGCCTTAAGCAGACATTCAGGATCAAAGCGCCTACACCTTGTCAACAACAAACCGTCACAAACAGCTGGCTATCGTGCAAAGGTAAGGCGGCATCGTCGAGGAAGCTAACTTGCGGCTTTCATTGTCACGCGTCATAATCCGCCATTACCCCGCAGATAAACCAGCACCAAACACACTTTAAACTGGCAGTCCGACTAGGAACCGGCAGCAGACGCTCCTCTGGTGTCGGTTGCGAGCTGTGTCCTGTAAAGTCTCAAGCAAAGCACAAAGCGGGTCACATGGACTCCAGTCTGGAAAGCGAGCTGGACCGACGGCATCATGTTTGGCCGTCAGTTACTTCATTTCCCACTGCCAGGTCAACTTCTGTCCACCTCGAGCTCTGCGCCACTCTACACCTGGCTGACTAAACAAAGCCCTCCTAGATAAGCAATGACCAAGCATACGTAGTTCGTGTCCAAGCCAACGCGACTTATTAAGTGCTATCTGCTGTGCTAAGGAACTGGCTTGGTTATCACTACCTAGTGCTCGCCTACGCACGTCATAATTGCGGATACACTGATGCCACCCGACAGCAGCAATGCTCCGCAGACGACCGTGATCAAAGACTTGAATGCTCTTTGCAGATGTACCAACTTGTTCTCACGGACAATGTAGTATGGTAGTTACGATGCACAACATAGTTCCTCCATTTGTCAGGGCTATGGTTCGTTTTGCATACATGCCACACTGCATCTTTTACTTCCGTACGTTTTCGCGTTCTTCTAATGAATGCTGGAGCCGATGTAGTACGGTGGGGCCTATTTTCTTCTGCGGATCTAATCAGATCACTGAACTTACCAGCAAAATCCACCCAGGCTGTATCAATAAAACAATCGTCCGAAAAA